AATGTTCATTCCACATTCCTTCTAGGAAACTCTACTTGCTACAAAAATGACGAGGAATGAAGATGGCATGTACAAATGTCATCATCTCCGAAGCGACCATCGCAATCACCACCACCGACAACGACGTTATACAGCATCACCATTCACATTTCACACCATGGTAGTTCTGTGGCATGTCTCAAACTTTTCTGCTAAATTACCACAAGAGGTGCAACTTTCAGTCTTCAAAGAAGCTTTTAACAAATGGCATGCCGTGTCAAGACTCAATTTCTCTTACACAGATGATGCAAACAAAGCACATATTAAAATCAGCTTTTTAACAAGTATGGTAATATCCAGTTGCATGTAATTTCTGGCTTATAGTATTTGGCGAAACTTGACTCGATTACCAGCCGTCACTAAGAGTATATTACCGTTTCGTTTTCCATAAGCCGTTACCAGTATAAAGTGTTACACATGCATGGCAACAGATACAGTGGTCAATTTCAAACTGTCTTTGCCAGTGTGTGCTGCAGCTACCTAGCCTACCTGAAAATATATAACACATATAGGGAGAATTTCTCTTTACATATTTTCAGGTAGTTGCATTCCTATCAACGAAAGCTTGGTTAATTTCAAGACTGTTGAGTGTTGACACACGTAGAAAGCCATAAAACCACGGATATGCTCCTCACAATTTATAAAAAGAAAATTTAATTTATAAATGCTAAAGTTTAATCTGGGTTGTGTCAACGGACAATTATAATAGAACGCTTGAAAATCACTATCCGGCGGAGTGCTATCTGGCATAAAAAGGTAGTTGAAGTTAACTACAGTTAGTGCGAAAGTTAACCAATCAAAGTCGAGTATTTTAGAGTTAACAACAACAACAACAACAACTTTATTTGTATCCAAACACACACATTAACTATATTTGCAAATTTTTTCATAAATTAGGATACTAGCTTCCAGAAATAACCATAATGGACTACAAATGCCTACTGGAAGTTAAACAACAATTTAGCTACAAAATAGTGGCCAAAAAGTAGTCAAGAGTTTTATAGAGCCCTTGGTGTTTGTTTTGTAAATTATTTTCATTATCATAGATCATTTCTACGACGGTCCTGGTGGAACTCTGGCTCATGCCTATGGCCCACATCCCAGCACAGGTCATGCTGGTGAAATACATTTTGATGAAGACGAAAATTGGGTGACGACCAAAACTGGAGGCACGAATTTACGAGCAGTAGCATTGCACGAGATTGGCCATGCTATAGGCATTAAGCATTCCCAGGCAGCACAGTCAGTTATGAGAGACGTAATCTTGAATAACAATACAGAATTATACCCCGATGATATAGCAGCGATACGTTGGATGTATGGTAATATTTGTAATTCGTATTAATAATTCATGCCAAAAACACTATATGGAAATCATGACTGTGAAGGAGTTTATATATCTGATACAAAATCCTGCTAATTTATATAGACTTTAAGTTCTCACCAAATATCATTCATCTCTTTAGAAGTATTGAATACGAACGTCTTCATATATATCAGACGAATCATAAGATATATACAACCACTGTTATTATCACAATATCACCATCATCATTACCACTATCACCCTCATCATCACAACCATCATCATCGTAATCCACTTGCTTGATCTCATAAATGTGAATACATTTGAATTAGAGCACCATGTGTAGTACAATATAAAACACTGACTGAAAGCATTTCAACCTCAGGTAAATGCGAAGTGAGAGACATAACGGCAGTCTTGCACGACAGATTTGGAGACGCTGGCGACACCATGCTGGTCATCAACAACAACAAGGTGTGGCGGATCTGGGCTCATAGTGGGGAAATCTTCAACGAAGAACATGAAACATGGCCAAAAGACATAAGAGAGTACTACAAAGCAAAAGATCCTATCTATGATAACGTTTTTCCGTTAAGTGCTGCGTTTTATGCAAAGGTAATATACTATTTAGTATTTTTGCGCAAGTGAACATAACAAATCCTACAAGTTGATTGGTCAATGAATGATATTTGGTGAGAACTTAAAGTTAATATAAATCAGCAGGATTTTCTTTCAATTCACCAGCATACAAAATGGCAGCTAGCCGTTTTGTGGAAGTTACTGATAAAGAAATAAGCGAAATTAAAATAAATTTAGTCCCAAAAAACACAAAAGACTTGTGTAAAAATACTAAAACAATTATTCGCCTCAGGCTCGATGACAATCACCTCGCCTTTGGCGAATAATTGTTAAATATTCAATTTGAAGCTAAATTCTCCTTGTATTCTTCAGGTAGTTGCACACCTATCAATCCGAAATTTTCCTACTAATATAACTCAAATTTCTCCTTGGCCTGGGCAGTGAACTCAATTTGATAAAGAATATGGAGTTCACTGCGTCTGGGAGCCTCATTCTCTGTCCTATCTTATGCTGTCCTGTACTGCATTAAGGCTAATTTCCACTCAGGAAAATTATCCGTGGATTGGAACGGACAAGAAAATTTTTTCTTTGTGTTAAAGTCATTAGTTCCAACCGAGAGCTCACAAGACAAAGAAACATTTTCTTGTCCGTTCCAATCCACCGATAATTTTCCTGAGTGGAAATTAGCCTTTACATAGAAACCTACATGTAGTGTTTTCACTAAATAATTACATATAACTTCCAACCATGCAAACAACATACAATGAATATTCTGCTTTCTCTACAGGGTGATCATGACGTGTACTTATTTGGACAAAACCACTTCATTCGTAAGAAGCCTTTTGAAGACAATCAGATGACGAATGGGCGTTATTACGATTTCAAAGATATCATGGAATGGAAACAAAATTCGTGGGGTGGCTGGATCCAGGTTCCTGAAGGTCCTCTACCGTATTCCCCTATGAATATTTTTCATACGCCCGATTTATTTAAATATTTCTTAAAAAGTGACGCCAAGTTTGGAGCCTCGTTTGAGGTCGGCTGTTGCTACTGGCAACATTTCTTCATGAACGGAACACATTATAAGGTACTAGTAACCCGACATGTCCTTTACTGTCCTGTCTTGAACTGTGTAAGTCTGAATTGTACTGCACTGTACTATAATGTAAGTATCAAAGATCTGTACTGTACTGTACTGTACTGTACTGTACCGTACCGTACTGACTACCGTTGATTTAAGCAGTCAAATAATTGATTTTTGTTAAAAGATTGTATTAAAAAAGTTTCCAATCTCATTAAGGTATCAATGCACAACTTCAATAATTTCTTGATCGAAGATATGAGTGTCAGCTTCCCTGGTGCACCACGAAATCCCGATGCATCATGGTACGACATGGTAAACAGCGAATGGTATTTCTTTAAAGAAGACAAATATTACAAATGGAATGCAAGTGTAGGAAAATACACTGACAGAGGTCCTATCAGTCTTTTGTGGTTTTCTGTTTGTGATTGAAATTACATTTTTAACGACACTCGCTCAAGCGAGGCATTTATTTTAAACCAATTTTTTCAACATAGCATTTTTTTTTGCTGAATTTTTTAAATGGCAGGATTCTAAAATTTAAAAAATGACACAGGAATTCAGTGTCACACAGTGTTCGTACAAACCTTGAAAGTCCCTTGACTTTAAACTTATAAGGAAGTACTAATTAGTCCTTGACTTTGAAAACCTTTCAACTTATAAAGAAGTATTAGTTAGTCCTTGATTTTGAAAACAAAGATTCAAGGCTTGAAAGTCTTTGAATTTATAAAGAAGTGCTTGAAAGTCCTTCAATTCTTCTTGCTTGGGTATTTCCAAAATTTCTTTGACATTAAAAAAACGGTTAGGCCCATTAGTCCTGGAATTTCCTGATACGTGCATGGCCTTGAACTTCCTGGAATTTCCTATAATACATGAATGGCCTTGAACTTCCTGGAATTTCCGATAATACATGCATGGCCTTGAACGTCCTGGAACTTCCTGATACATGCATGGCCTTGAACGTCCTGGAATTTTACTTTTCGAGACTTGTACGAACATTGGACACATCCTACGTGGATTTTTAAACGACGCATTATTTGCAGAATTTTTTACCTCCTAAATATTTTGGAGCATTTGACCAATTTCAATAGCCTAGAAATTTTTTAACGACCAAGCATTTTTTGCTGAAATTTTTAAGTGGCAGAATTCTAATATAAAAACTGACACAGTATAAATGAAGACACATTCGATACGCATTTTTAAATGACAACGCACGATTCTGAAATATTTTTGAGAAAAATTTCAATAGCCTCATAATTTTGAGGTTTTTAATAGACAATTCCCATTATAGACATTATAGAGTAATTTTAAAACTAGGCAAGGAGATGTAAATAAATCACCACAGAAAGAGCATACTAAAATTTGCAAAGTTTGGTTGCGCTATGTTGTAAAACGCGGAGAATATAGCCTTGCAAAGTTCGCAATTTTTGTATACTTTTGTATTGCGTGCGGAAATCGCTACCACATTTGGGTCGAAAATGGTAGCAATTTCCGTACGTAGTATGCTTTTTCTAGCTGTGATTTATTTGCATCTCCTTGCCTAGTTTTAAAATTAGTCTATAATGGGAATGGTCTATTAACAACCTAGCATTCTTTGCTGAACTTTGGACAGTATTTTTAGTAACGTACGATCTCGTTCGGACGGGCTCGGAGTAACTCTAAGTGATAGGCTTCAGAAACTTCAAATCGAATCCCTTTTTTTTTATAATTGAAAAATAGATTCATTTCTATATAATTTTGTTTCATGTAGAAAAGTATTTAGGCCTAGGTAGTCTAAGAACCAAAAAAGTGGTACGGTACCAAAATCGAGCGTAGTGTAAACGGGGCTTTAGACGATTAATAAAATCAAATTTGTGTGTAATCGTTTCGTGTGTTAAATTAGCGAAAGTGGAATGCACCGGTGTCTACTCTGTTTTATAGCCCGGATATCCGTTCGCTCTACTTCAGTTCAAGTTCCAGATATATCTGGAACTTAAAACTAACCCTTCTGGTTTCTGGCTGCAAGAAAAGATAATCAACAACCCCCTTCCTCCTATCATTATGTTTTATTTGAAAACCTGTCAGGCAACGCGTATCAAAATTTGTACTAAATGTTTATGACATCACATTAACTATATTTAACTGCACTATACAAATTCTTGCCTGTCATATTTTGTCGCACTGTTTCTGGAGAGAGGATATTTGTTCACTGGCAATTCGCGGCAACGCGTAGTATTAAAATGATGAAAGACACCGGATTATTTTGGCACTTTACTCATCACCGATTCAATAATTTTGGCTAACGAGTCAACCCAGTCTGAATGAATCTTCCTAATCAGTTGTCCGCTCGCCTTAGTTGCTTGAACTATTCTTCTCCCTTTGCTAGATTCACCAGTCTCTTCTTTCTTTTCCTCGCTTTGAGCTGGGCACATACTCGGCTCTCCAGTTTCGGAAGACGTCGCGACATCTTCGCTACGCCTTCGTTTACTCGGGGGAGGACGTGAGGAGTCGTCATCACCCGAGTGTTTCTCATTCTTCTCACCTTCGTCTTTATAATTTTCATTATTACTTCCATCCTTCTCACTTTTTTTCTCATCCACTTTCGTTCCTTCCGTTTTCTCCGCATCCTTCTGTTCATTCCGTTTATCCTGTTTCGTTTTCTGATGTCTTCGACACACACCCAGAAGACGTTTCAAGCTTGGCACCAACATTTCGCTGACGTCAGCTTTTTGTGGCGCAGACGCAGTGAAGAGTAGTGATAACACACGGAGGTCCTAAAGAAATAACGCAGTTAGCTTGACGTAACCTAAGTTCGTCAGCTGAGTTGACATCAGGCCGCTATAACAAGATGGACCACATGTCCATGGTCAAACTTAGTTGCGGAAACATCGTTTCCTAGCCATGTTTATCGAAGGTGGCAAACCAAAAACCCAGTTTCTTAAAAATGCAAACCAAAAATATTGTTCCACAACATAAATAGAGAGATAGATTTGACTCACTACCACTCACTGACTTAGTAGTCAACTGATTGGTTAATTAGATATATCAAACGCATCTGATTGGTTAATAGCCCCTTAATGGTAACGGAGGTCAAATCTGAACCTCTATAATGACACTTAGGAAACTATCTATTCTTGAATCGCTATTAGAATCTCATCTCCAAGCAACAGTATTACCAAGGGTCGGCAAACAGGAAATCATTCGGGAAAATTCCTGAAACGTTTTTTTAAAAAAAAAATTTTCAAACGTTTTCACAATAATGTCTCCAAGTTTGTTCAGGGCAAAGTCAAAGAGAGACACAACACTTAAAACGGCATGTCGTGCTACGACACTGTCTGGTTGTTGTAATGAAGTCTTACCGCAGTCAAACGTCGTGCAAGATCATTGAGTTCCGAGTCTTTTAAAGCATCAGCTTGGTTTTGATCAGCAATAATTGACGAGACCAATGTATTGACAAGAGAATTCCACTGCTCGTGTGCAACACGTGATGATATCTGGTTGAAAAGAAAAACAATTATGTCAAGATGACTGACGTGAAGAGGACACACACTAGATAAAAAGGGGAAAAGCCTGGGAACGTGGTTGAAGACCAAATACATCCAGACACATCTTCGACTAGTAGTAACAACAATAACAGCGGCGTAGCCAGCTTGATAATTGGGGGGTTGTCCATATTCATATATTCGTGCTCTGCATTATTAATTTCTTTTGAAATCGATTGCTTTTAAGGTCTGTGAACACGAATATGTGAATATGACCCCCCCTCCCCAATTATCGAGCTGGCTACGCCGCTGAACAATAATAACAATAATAATTTATTTCTAAGAATAATTCATAGAATAGACCTACCCTGGGAAATATACTGCAGAGGAAGGAATATGTTGGATTCACATTGATAATTGTTCTTTCTTCAAACAAAATGAGATCTACATACTGAATATAAAACATGCATATTAGACGTATAGTGACAAAGAGGTTACAAATTATATTTATTCCACAGGTAAGTTAAAATATTATATGGCATATGTGATATAGCTTCTTGACGCAACTCAATGAACGCATTAGAATTATTTCCACTCACCTCAATGAACTCGTTCTGTTGGCATAATTCTTTTAACCACGCTTTGTATTTCGGAATCTAGGTCGAGGGAAAATATGGAATATCAGTTATATGTGGGTCTCACTAAGAACTATTCTGGTCGACCTGTAGTCATCAGAGTGAGAAAATAATGTTAGTTCTTTTGTAGTGGTCTTGCATCTGGCGGCAAATAAATGGAATTGAGAAATGTGGTTTAGTCTCCTTTCTCCTACAAAGACTTGAAAATATCTGCAGTTGACCACTATTTCTGCTACCCCGCAACTCTTACTGAAAGACATAATTAATTATACATGACAAGTTGAATTTCATAAGTTTGATGACAATACCTCATGGGATTTATTGTAAATTTCTGACCATATTTTAGTAAATAAGATGAAGTGAAGAGGCAGACCCTCCATTGCCATGAGACAACCTAAACAATGATAAAACAACGAATTATTCATTGTTCAAAAATTGTAAGTTTAAATAATTTATTGTAAAACTCATTAATAATCCATGAGAAAATGCTTAATGAGGTGTTGTATCCACATATAAAAAATTCTTCTGATTTGCATAAACTTTTCCTCGATTTTCTCAGTTAAAATCACTTCTTTTTTAACCTTAAATTTTCTTAAAAACAACTGAAATCCTTACATTTCACAAGCTATATCTGATACAACAAATTTATTATGAACCCACTTTTTACATATACTATTTTTGACATGTCATGGGTTCAGTCTGCCCGAAATAACCATTAAAGGGCTAAAAGAATCAGGCAGACATTTTACACACAACGCTTTACAAATTCAATAAACAACATGGCCCCTCATACTGTATCTAGTACATAACACTTACTTAATTTGATGACGTTTTCATTCACTTTATCGTTGGTCAATCCACAACGCACGAGTTTATCCACAAATTGATGATATGGAAGAAAATAATCCGTCAGCTCTTTATCGTAATTTGCGTCGACTCCCTAAACACGTGGTTTAAATTAGTCTCATAATACGCAAACCAGGAGAAGTGATGTATGGCAGCGAATGAGTGAATTTAGTGCAGTAAAAAACACAGTACTATTATTTTGTTTCGCCAATACATGCAGAGTGGGGACAGAAAAAATGGCGTGAGCCCAAGAAGAAGGTCGGACGAACTGGTCGATGAGTGAGTGGGTGGTGTGTGTGTGTGGGGGGTGTTGGAAGGCTGCAGCATGTGCACCCCCGCAAGCCCCCCCCCCTAACCAAACCCTTCACATCCAAGCCTGGTATCTGCCCCAATATGTACCTTGGAACAATCAATATAACTCCTATGTAACGCCATGTTGATTTCGGGAACTGCCATCTGTCGAGATGATTTACTGTTTATTGAACCTTTTCCATAACGGCGAGGGAAGAATGGACCTAGGGGGACTGGAGACGAAAAGAAAAGCAAATAAATAAAGTATGACCAAAATAATAGTTGTCATTATGACTGCGTGTAGGGATACTACAACGAAAGATTGACATGTACTGTGAATAAAGTAAGCCTTAAACCTCGTTCACACGATACCGGCAGAGTTTGAAAACGGAGCGAAATTCTTACGTTTAGGGGTTGCGTTCACACGATGCCTGTATGAAAAAATGTGAAACCGTAACGCTAACCGTAAGAGTTTGAAAACGCGGTATGCAAACCGTAAGAGTTTGAAAACGGAACGAAACTCTACACCGTCAGAGTGCCGTGTGAACGCCTAACCGTAAGAATTTCATTACGGTTATGCAAAATGAAATTAACAAAACTGCAAAAGTTGTTGCTGGATATTTTATTCTGTCTATTTTAACTGATTTGTGCAGCATATTGTCAAAGCGGAATATAATCTGTCGGTATCGTGTGAACAGTTGGAACCGTGATGATTTTCTGCCGGCATGAGAATGCCGATATCGTTTGAACGGGGTCTTAATCTTGTCGCTTTTAAGGATAGGTGTCGTATGAGCGAAATGCCAGCAGATTAATTGAGACGTAAAGTGGGCATCATTAAAATCAGCAATAGCAACACGACGTAGGGGTTCCTAGGAACCGAGCTATGGGTCAACTCCAGACTTTTTAAGCTAACTTACTGGAATCAGGGTTTTCTTTACGACTTCTGTGAGATTGGTAAATAATTGGAACCAGAGAATTGACGCAATCGTCTTGGTATATTAAAATAATTGTATGTAAAACCTCTATAGAAATATAAAATATAGAAATTTAGTTTGAAACCAAAAGCCTGTTCTTAAAGACACTGGAAAACAATATCATACGAAGTTAAAAACATTCTACCTAAACAGCATTTCCGAATCTCCTTCGGTGTATAAAAATTTAAAAGTGAGAGCAATTTTTGAGCCATGTCGATTCTTTCTGCCCATCCATATATACCGCTCTTTACGTCTGAAAGCAATAATTTTCAACGTTGCTTTAATTGCTTAACAGCATTGCAGATAACAACAAAAAAACATATTTTATTAGTCTGGAGTTACTACGGAAGGAAACCTTAACTAAACCAACTTTATTCACACTGGATAGCTCTATTTCTTCTTGACAGTTCTCCCTAGAGGTCCAGTAAGGATAATCTCTTATTGCTCCAGTGTTACTACAGGAGGAAACCTAAACTTAACTAACTTTATTTACACTGGATAGCTCTATTTCTTCTTGACTGTTCTTCCTAGAACTGTTCTTCCTAGAGGTTCAGTAAGGATCATCTTTTATTGATCAAGTGTTACTACAGGAAACCTAAACTTAACTAACTTTATGTATACTGGATAGCTCTATTTCTTCTTGGCAGTTCTTCCTAGAGGTTCAGTAAGGATAATCTCTTACAATGTGGAAATATATATTACCTTGTCTGTTCATGTGGGCACGACAGCAGTTAAAAATATTCAACATCACAGACAATACATCTGTCAAGTCCCCAGTCACGTGACAAGCTGTTGCCTCGTGGTACATCAAGTGCAATGTCGTAAACGCCTTAAAAAATAACATCTCGAGAATGACTTATCATAGTTATTTATACTGGATTAGCTCTATGTGTCCTAACTGTTCTTCCTAGAAGTCAGGAATGGACAGAAGGAAACCCAATTACGTGGGGCTGTGGTATTTGGTAGAATAAAATTGGAAGTACTCTTCTATTATAATCTGACAAGTGCACATTACAGGAACCAAACATCAAAAGGAAAGAACATACAACAAGGACTCAAGGCATATTTCAACAAATATATTGGGGGTCCATTTGGCCCCCACTAGTTAGTGGCTCAGACTGGGCCCTAACCTTACTCTGAGTGACCAAAATCTTACTCTGGGTAGCCCACGTACATTGGGCCCTAATCTTGGTGTTGCCCCCCTTTCCCCCACCCCACCCACTGTAAAACGTTTACAATATGCACTGCAAGAACTCACATCAGCTAATGACATTAAACCATTGTTGAGTGCAACCGTCAACTTGTCTTCCTCCGTTTGAAGCAATATTTTCAATGCACTAAAATGAAACATGAAATTTACTTGTTGAAAGAGGCCTCAAATTAACGCGATTTCCAATTTTCTTTGTTGCAATTTTTAATTCATTAATACTTCGTGTAGGCAAAATCTGACGGAAATCAACACCAAATTGTTGTAATAATTCCACGGTGATAAGCGTCAACTTTTGCGTTGAATACCTCTTGAAATATTGGTTCATTTGAGAAGCTAAATCTTACTCACGAAGTCGTTGAACGTATAAGGGATTTTAATATACCACAAAATAACACTTGGCTGGCGCCTTGTTTTCCAACACACTTTTTGGTGACTCGGTATTTGTACGATTCGATACTTACTAAATGAGGGTAGTCCAGTAAGTCCCACAATCTAATGACGTCATATACATTTTGATCGTTCGTGTACGGAAGGCCGCGGCGGCCGAAACCTCGGAACTCTTCGTCAAATTTTGACCATTGCCAGAAAATAAATTCATCAGATTGAACAGCTCGTCAACAGCCTACAACAGGAAGAACGGAATAGTTGGTCACAAATGTGAAAAGGCTCATGGACTAACCGCTGGGCAATATGTTTCGCTGGGCAATGTGTTATCAAAGCTGTCTGAAAATCGCCCTAAAAATTGCAAGTGTACAAGGGTCTCAAATACAACACATACCTAATACTATGCATAGCTATATTATAATCCAAGATTAACGCTAATCGCTCTTTGAATAATCATCCCCCACCCCACCCCCCGAGATATCCAGTGTCCCTTACCTTAGGGTATTGGTTAATTCTAGACGTCAGGTACTCAAAAGCCCAGGTCATGTTGGCATGCTTGGCTAGTTCTCGAGTAAACTGAGCTGAATGTTCACAAGCAAGTCTTAATAAACCATAATAAACTGGAAGAACACTTCGATTGAATGCGATAACTTCTGGGTCGTCATTCGATCTAAACGCAAAACAAAATATACAAAATTATTCAAAATAGCTGGCTTTCAAGCATTCCACGAGACTTTAACACAAAAGAAGATGGAGGGCAAGTAATGAAATTCTAATGAGATTCTAATAAAATTCTAATGAGATTCTAATGAAACTCTAATGAGATTCTAATGAATTCTAATGAAATTCTAATGAGGATTCTTTTGTGTAAATGCCCTCAATGTGCAGTGAGATGTAGCATGATGAAAGCTACAGAAAATCTAATGAGATTCTAATGAATTCTAATGAAATTCTAATGAGATTCTTTTGTGTAAATGCCCTCAATGTGCAGTGAGATGTAGCATGATGAAAGCTACAGAAAAAGGCGATCCATCTCTATCAGCTTGTAAAATGCTCTCTTGAGGAAAGTGCCATTTCTCACAGGTTCAGTTCACTACAGGAGGAAACCTAAACAACTTTATTTAATATGCTGAACAGCTCTAGCAGGTCTAAACTGTTCTCCCCATAGGTCTAATAAGACCATCTCTTATTGATTCAATGATATTACAGAAGGATACTGAATAATACTAGAGTGCCAGAGTATGGTTTTGCTAGAGTTATACTGTAAACACTATTCTCAGATGCGACTGAGGTAAAATTATAATCAGGAAATGTAATAATTGAACTGTGGTAACAAAGACGAAAGATACATTCAACAACATCGCTAGATTGTTTAGTTGTCAGCATGGACTAGTCACAGTGCTTATACTTTATCTTATTATATATGGTATTGCTACATTACACTTCTAAGCAAGCAATTACTCACAAGATGTAGTTAAATGGTATATTTTCGACGACTTGGGAAGTATCCGTTATAAAAGCCACGTTTTTTTCACAACCATTGCAAACATGGTACCAAAATGTCAACAAAGCCTGTTCAGAAGAAAATGTATATATGGTACATTGGTTAGTTCAATACTAGATACAATCATAGAGAGGTTGACATTTGATTTCCCCGCACTGGCTTAATACGCATTTGATTGGTTGATTGGGGGTAATTTACAATGGGAAAAAAAGTGAAATCCACACCACGACATTTGCAATTGCACCACACCACTAAATCCATAGTATATCCATCCTATTTCCATCCTATATCCACACTATGGAAATATACAATTATTATGGATAATCAAAATCCATTCTATTTCCAATAAAGGTCCATACAATTTCCATTCCATGACCTTCTATGGATTTTCAAATTTTTTCCAGTGTTAAACGCATTTGATGTTGTTGAAGGATTTATTGAAAGTACATGTCATTAGTATAAGGTAATCATGCAATGTGATATTTGCAAATTTTCCCAAAATTGGACGAGCCGCCGGGGTGAGTCCAATTTGGCAAAATTTCCAAACATCACGAGTATTATTAATCCCTAAATGTACGAGCAACATCGCATGGTTACTTGTTTATTATTAGCATGACAAAATTGGATAATTCTCAATGTCAACATCATATTCTCTCACCAAAGCCCAGTCCTGCCAGACGTTCAACCAATATTCGCATTTTCATTTAGTTATTTTGCTTTAAGTTCCTCTAGGGCAATTTCAGTTGTTTTCAAATACCTTACCGCCATTTTGTTTGTTTTGGGAAAATCATTAATTGTACTGCAGTAAAATTAATTAACGAAGTAATTGTACTCCTCTCAACCAATCAGCATCCAGTAATTTCAGTGTCATGCTAATAAATACAGTAATATTTATTCAGTGTAGTAATTCAAGTTACCTGTTTATTTGGAAATACGGAGATATTTGGTTCGGACATGAGAGGATGAAACATCTTCCATATATCAATAGAATGCGACGTAAACTAGCAAAGAACAATGTAAAAGTTTAAGTTTGACTCCATCCTGGATTCTACAGCAATGAACTCCACTATTTATCCCTAATCATACTCATGGCATGTACATCGTGAAAATATAATATCATACCATTTCTTTTTCTTTGTTTGAAATGAGACAATAATTCAAAACAGTGAAATAACTCGTCAGCTTCGTTGTACCATGTAGAGTTCGATCTGAAATATGAAAAGTTATTTAGACCATATTAATGGACCTATTCCCTAATAAACAAAATTTTGATCAAGACAAAAATTTCATCACAGCCTGAAAGAGCATCACAAAATTAGTAATATTCCGAAGTTTCGTTTTAAAATGTTGTAAACTGCGGATAATATAGCCCTGCGAAGTTTGCCGTTTTTCAGTCATTTTGTATTACGCACGGGAAATTGATACCTGTTTTCTGAAAGCGGTATCAATTTCCCACGCGTAATACAAAATGACTGAAAAACGGCAAACTTCGCAGTGCTATATTATCCGCATTTTACAACATTTCGCAACGAAACATCGGAATATTACTAATTTTGTGATGCTCTTTCAAGCTGTGATGAAATGTTTCTCTGGACTTGTCTAGATCAAAATTTTGTTCATTAGGGAATAGGTCCATTGATTTAATAGAGCGTTTGCCCTCATTCCCCAGGGACCAACTCAATAAAAGCCATGGCGGCCATGTTGGTGTTCCAGACAAAATAGTCTTATTAAAATGGCATCAACTATTTCTCTGACCTCAGAATGACATTTCGTCAAAACGTTTTTCTTCGAGATTGGTTTAGAAACAAATTTGGAGTAGGGTTAGGTTAGGGTAAGGATTAGAGTTGGTATTTGGAGTAGGGTTAGTGACAGTAAAACCGTTGCTTTGTTACGTTTTGTCACTCTGAGGCCAGCGAAATAACCTCTTCCAATTAAAATTATTTTGAATTGGAAAACCAACTGTGACGTCATGTGCAAACGCTCTATAGAGAGGTTCAGATTTTGACCAATCAAATGCGTTTAATCTACCCGATTAATCAAAGGCGTATTAGGCCAGTAAGAGGTAGTGGAAGTGAAATCTGAACGTAAATAGTTATTTATTTCTTGCATGATAATACTAACCACAATATGTCTTCAGTTTTGGCATGAGTTTGAGCAAAGTGCCGTAGACCTAAACACAAAGAAAAAAAAATCCTTACTTTTTAGTCCAGAGGTGGAAAAAATAGGCGAGCAGCACGCGAGCACTGCTCGCAAGAAATGTTAAACAAATGCAGGAAATTCATTTGAATGTAGATTTGCTGCAACAACATATGGTTGACAGACATTATTCCTTGAATTTAAAACCATGGTCAGCTAGAACACTATATGTTTATGCACATGCAGATTTAGCACAAAAAATACTCCGTTGGTCTGCAGGAAATTTTTGACTTCAGGTTGTACTCCCAGGAAGAAAATTCTTTTTTTCCGGCCCTCATCACCTTGTTTCATGCGCTGAATGCCCAGCAATTAGCCTTCGCCATGCGACCAGACCTTGTCCGTCATTTCTGGTGGCAAGCTGAGCAGAGAATGGTTTTCGTAAAGCACTCATAAACAACAGTGCGGTGTTTTTAATACACTAACTCTAGCCAAAAATGGCAGACAAGGTTGTAGTGAGAAAGCCTAATTCTACAATGTTTGAAAATGCTGCAGAAATTGTCACACAAACCTTGTGGAGCACTGTTTGAGCCTCCGGTGACAGCTAGAAAAAAGACAAACAAATAATAAGCATGGAATAGTGCCACAAAAACAACATCAAACATTTGCCAAAGATGTCAAAAAGAGTAGAAAGATGGGGGTTGCAAGGACATATATACCTACCTGCACATCTTTCAGAGGAGTGACAAACGTCTTGGTTCTACAATAAAAACCCGGAATATGTTGGAGACAATATGTTCTTGAGGTAAAATACATTAAATGTTCTTACCTAAAGCCTTGTTTGAACGGATTGTTGGGTATGAGTGCTACCAACAAATACGCAGAATCTGAGAAAAAAATTGATATCACAATTTACATAAACAGTAGAATACACGCTTTCACATCTTGGCCATACAGCTCCGTTTTCGTGAGACTTTGGGCTTTAACATGCAAAGTTACGTAATTTCCGGAATGGTGTACTGTATGTACATCTAATGTAAAAAAACAAATGTGAGTGACTCATGATTGGAGGAATGATTCCAGCAATATACTGTACAATGGTCTTTAACACTCGACCAACAAGCGCTATTTGTAACAACAGCGTCTTTCACTAGATTTGTACATACCGTTTCGAATACGCATACTATTGTCAGCCACAAGAAATGGTTCAACCCATGTATCCATGTGGCTTAGAACAAACTGACGAGCCTAGTAAGGAAACATTGGTTACATTTTAGACTACATCAAAAACTCTTTGATTATATTAGGTTTTAGTTTTATCATCTCACCAACCTCGTACCCAGGCTCTTTCCTCTACGCTCCTAAAGAAGACTCTTAACGTGTTTGGATCTTATCTAGTTCACTACACTTCTCTGACATATCTTATCATAACCTGCTTGCAGCCGCTTGTATCATTGTATTTATGAGGAGAGTGACACTATTTCACCCTTGGGAAACACACGCTCCTGCAAGAAGGCTAATCTTACCATTTTATTCTTTGAAACGACATTCTGAAGCCATTCAAGACAAACACAGGCATTATATTCTGCTGCCTATATATAAAAGAGTAAATATTCCGATTCAAATTGTGAAATTTTCACCTGTACTATTTTATAAGCTTTTAACATTTATATGATGGAGTATAACATGTAGACGGCGCACAGGCTTAAGTTTACCTCCCAAATTCTTGCCAAGATGAGATTTGTGAAGGAGAAAGGCCCAGGAGTCCCCAGACTCAGTTCAGTGAGAGTATTGAGCAGCTTAAAGAATGGCTGAGTTTGCTAGAAGAGAAAAAATATTTTGTTGCGAAAAATCGTATCATGCATCAACAGTTGAACAGTAAAACTAAAGAAAACGAAACGAAAGAAAAACAACTCAACTAGGATATTTTTAAACCAGGATGCTATATAGCTTAACAATTTTAACTGTACCTCGGATGAAAGTCGTTTCACGGAAGACATCAACGTCGAAACAATCTAAAGCAATTCAAAAGATAACAATAAACTACCTGTGCGTGCTGTATATACCTCAAGAGCTGGTAGCCTGTTTAGCGTCAATGGTAGATTTCTCTCATACGAAAAACGAGGTTGGTGAAAGGCAAGTGCATTGACAACTAGCCCATCACGTGGTACTTACTTTTTCAGCACGATCTTGGTTGTGCATACAGAGTGTAAAGACAAGATTGCCTGTGTGCTTCAGGTTCACTACATCCTTTACAATCTCAAAGATGAAAGGATATCCCTGGACAAAACAAAAGGTACACTAAGAATAACTACAGAATATTAACTAAAGGAATCAATAGATACACCCTGCTCCACTGGATACACCCTGCACCACTAAAAAGCTCAACTAGGTTCTTGTGTTAAACAAGTGTCAACTGATATCGAGTGTCTGGATGGAGTACCTGGCCACCGAGGAGTGCTTCGTTATCGCTTTCTGATAACTGAACCTCTTTTCTGAAGAAAGAAAAAACACTTGCATTGTTATCGACAAAATATGATCGAGTGAGGAAAAGAGTGGATGTGGTGAGCGAACTTTTTGTCATAGTTGGGGGGTGGGGGGTGGGGCGCAATCATCAACCGAGGTAGGTTGCATCATCAGAGATAAAGCTGGAGTACATACCAACAGGTTTTGTTATTGACTCGTTCTTTAGAAAATTTATTCTTTAGTGTAATGGTGTTTCATTGTTATAATCAACCAATCACAGAACCTCATATCAATCATATGACCTCGTGACAGCCCTGAAGTTACGACGTTCAGGGGATAGAGTTCCCGGCAGCCTGCAAGGGTTAGCTCCCGATAAAAGTGGGGCAGGGGTTCTTAGATCAATTCTAAGTTTGTCAAAATTATTTTAGAAAAAAGTTGCCTTGAAGGACAAAGGGGCCAAAAGTAAAGCCCAAACAATTGGACTGTACAAGGAAATTAATATCCTTGCCACACCCCCCCCCCCCCCCTCCCCAAGTAAATCCATCTTTGCAAGATAAGGGTGGTTTTTCTAGGTACATATTCCGGTGAACTCCTGAACAAAGTCGTAAGCATAGACACATACGATTGTCCTTTCGCCTCCTCCACCAAGAACGCAATGACTGTGACCATCTTTTCCAGAGCAAATGGTCGGAACTTCTCTTCGGGAAAAATCGGAACAACGTCGTCATCGTCATCATCTACGTCATCATCCTCAGTTACTTCAATCTGAAAAACAAAGAATGGACATCAGCTTGTCATTGAGTTCTCCCAACTGGCAGAGTTGAGCAATCAGGAAGTTAGGGGGTTAAACTCAAGGTAGCCTGCGATCAGGCGTTCGTATGAATATCATGAAGAGAAATATGACGTACCGGTTCGTTGGACTTTAGCTTGAAGAAAAAGTTCACAAGTGTTGTTATAGTGTTGACAGATAACAAATATCGCCTCTGCAGGAAAAAGAGAAAGTTAATTCATATTAGCAAGTATCTCACTGATATACAAAGCATTCTTAGGAAATGTTTTTACTCCTGGGGCTGGTCGTTCAAAAGCCGGTTAACTTAACCCTAGGTTAGCGTGAAATTCACAGCATACTTCCAAGCCGAGCTTGTTTATAAACTTATTTTTCAGAAATCTTGTCTGGATCATCAGAAGTTTAATTTTCTAAGGTTTCGCAATAAACAGACGTACATATATACTGTTCATAAACCAAGGCAATGGCTTCAATTTTTACCCAGGGTTAGCACTAATCGTGTTTTGAACAACCGGCCGTGGTAAACTCTATTCACCAACCTCTTCGCTTCCCAGTTGACAAAATTGATGAAGAAATGAGAACAACTCCGTCATATTTCGCATGTGGTTCTTTACATTTGTAGAAAGCTGTCAAAGAAAAGCAACGGGTCAAAAAGAGTCATTGCAATAGGTCTAAAGAGTAGAGCTGGAAAAAGTGAGGTCTAGATCCCGAGGAACGTTTGCCTTATCAAGAAAATTGAGGAACATTTTGTCACACATACGTTATAGGAGAATCGTAGGAATCATTAGATCATACTTCTTTAGCCCTCATTTGAAACATACAAACAAGTGTTGTTTGTTGAATACATAATGGCGTAATGTACCATCATATTTTCCTTGTTTTTACGCACTTTTGAGGAACATTTGAAAAAGACAAATTCAGGATCCGAGGAACATTAAACATTTTCTCCAGATCTGACAGTAACGAGCCTTGCTCAGTACTCACCAATTTTAGAATGGTTTGCACAAAGTTCGTCACAGAACAGGAGGCTGCAGGTTTTTGTCCGCCATTTTCAACACTAGAAGAAAAGCAGGAAGAGTCCAGTGAGCTCTATATATATCTGGAGCAAGAACTTCAGTCATTCGGCCTATGAGAAAAGTGAAGCCAAGATGGCGGAAATTGACGTCCAATAGCTCTGAAGGTCGTAAACAGTTTTAATACCATTTTCCCAGCTATTTCTAGTTTTTTCTAACGGACCGTATCACTAACCAAGTATCATGCATGCCAGTTCCAGTCCTTTTATATTGTTTTTGTCCGCGCGGTTAACACGAAGTTGGCTTCACTTTCTGGACTCATTTCTGGACAATAGTGAGTTTCAGATTTGACTTCCACTACCGTTTACTCACTAAGTACGCATGTGATTGGTTAATCGGGTAGAGTGAACGCATCTGATTGGTTAATCGGGTAGAGTGAACGCATCTGATTGGCCCCTTAATGGTAGTGAAAGTCAAATGCTTTTTTTCTGGGTCCACTTACTCTTTCTGTGATGAACAGTAAAGCGCCACTTGAGAAGGTCGAAGGATCTGGATTACGTGGAGACACAATCGAGCGAACACCTACGAGATGAAATTCAGCACAATTAGAACTGAGGTGATGGTGACACAGTCGTGCATGGTGTCTTTCATCGAACTATTTAGTGTTAAAAACGTGATAGTAAGTAAAATATAGCTGATTTACAGCAGAGCAAAAGGATGGCATGGAGAAAATGAAAAGCAATGAAATATTCTGACTGGATGGCACAATTGCTAAATGTTATGCTAAAGCCACGGTCACACGAGAATGAAAGTTGATGAGAGTTGCAACTCTTGCTCGAATTTCACCACAAACTCTTAAGGCCCGTTTACACTTTTTGCTGCGATTTCTAGTGCAATTTTCTCTTTCTGATGGATGTGAACGAGTAAATAAGTTGTGAATGTTCTGAGTACATGCATGTCTCGCTGATGTCCCCTCGTATCCATCGTTCACATCCATCAGACGAAGAAAATCGCACCTAAAATCGCAGCAAAAATTGCAAGTGTAAAAAGGCCTTTATGAACTCTCATCGACTTTGAGCTGATTCAAATTTTACAGTCGATTTCACGAAACTTTGGCCACAAATGTTCCGAACTTCGTTGCGAAGTTCGCAAGTTCGTTGCGTAGTTCAAAAGTTCACAATGAGATTCACATACTAGTTTGTAAACAACGCATTTGATTGGTTTCTTTTACTTCAGGGACCAATCAGGGACTTTGTTCACAAATTGGCTTGTGAATTCCAATATGAACTTCCGAATTTTGCAACGAACTTGCGAACTTCGCAACGAAGTTCGGAACATTTGTGGCCAAAGTTTCGTGAAATCGACTGTAACGAGAATATCCAGTTAACTCTTATCAACTTTCATGCAACTCTTGTTCTCGTTTGATTGGGTCACAAGACCTCATACAAACAAGCAATGTTTCCAACTAACCTGTCTCGTGGCTTGTACAGGACACCTAAGCAATATCTGTTGCAACCACCAGCTGTCCTCAGCCATATGATCCAAGAACCACTGACATGCCTCGCGACTGTTATCAAAATGAACCACCAATAAATCACTCCATGCTTTCAAACCTGGCTTCTCTTTTGAATGAATAAATGTCTCGAGTAAAAACGAGGTAGCAAGCTTAACATTCGATAACGAGGTTTGTGAAGACTCTGTAAATGTGGGAGCCACTTTACTACACAGTAACCACATGGTATTGAAGTACGTCAAATCGAATATTTGTTTATCGCGGATAAATTGAATATTGTCTTTCCAAATCCAAGATAAAAGTTCGGGATCCATTTCGCTCGCAGAAGAGCCTGTTTCAGTGTTGCGAGATCTTTCCTCGCGTTCGTAAAATAGCATGTAGGCACTGTGTGTTTTCTCGAATGAGAAATCCAAGAATTTTTCCGTGACAGCATCGTAGGTCTTGGTCTAAAATTGGGAGAGAGGATTTAGTTTCTTGCGCGAGAAAGACATGAGATGTTTGATGAGCATTTACCTTGTTGTAATACACAATTCGACAGAATGATCATACTAAACTTCGAAACTTACAATAACTTTATTTATACCGGAAAGTTGGTCAGTTTTAAACTGTTCTCCACAGAAATCTAGTAGGTGGTGCAGTGTTTACTACAGGAGGACACCTAAACTAAACTAATTTTATTTATACTGCACTTCTAAACTGTTCACGTTAATGATTCAGAAAGCGATTCATTCCTCATTGGTCAATTGCTACCAACCGGATGAAACCTGTGATGCTTGGTAGAGTCAAACCGGAAGCACTCTTCTCACTTGCGACTAAGGGGGACAATAAAAATTGTATATTGAAGGAACCGAGAGTTCCGGTCGGAAAGGCACGTACTACTTTAGACAGAAGATACCCAATGGAGGAAAGGCAACACCTCAGAGAGGGGTAATCACTAATCACCTTGGAGAGGGCTGCCCATTTTGTAGGAGTGTCCATCATAGGGGGTGACTCCCTTGGGAAAGTAGTGCCCCCCCCTGATGAATGCAAAGGGTGATCACCCTGGAGTAAACCTCAGGAAAGTTTTGTCACTCGATCCTACCATCATTTCGCCTCCAAAACATTCAGATGCAATCTGCTGCGGATCAAACGGTTTAACTTCAGCATCGTTGAAGAGGAACCAGCGATCATTCTGACCTGATGTTCGATCTCGTATAAAACTGTAATAATGTCCTCCTTCAGCTGTCCCCGTATGAACGACAACTCCGATTAAATTATAAATATAATTCAAGTCTTTTTCCGGATCTATGGAAAACCAAATGTTTGTACTAGTTTTGTTGTTATTATTGTTGTAGGTTTATCACAAACGAACGAGAGGAATGAAAAGCAAAACAGAAACCTATAAAACCTCCTGAAAACTATACTTGTAAATACAGAAACTGTTACCTTGATCTTTCTTCTCTCCCATCAAGTACTCCTCTGTGTATGGCGCCATGTTCAGTTGTCTTGGAAACGAGAAATGCGTGTTGACTTTCTCCTTCATCATCGTCACCATATTGAACGTGTATCTCATTGTGTTGAAACACAAAATGCGAGGAAGAACTTTAAAACAAGCCCTGGAGAAGAGAAATAAACACAACTTCGTTTGATAAGTGTGCTTATTTTGTCTCCCGGGGGTGTTCGTAGAGATATCCAGCAAAAGACATATTCAGCTTAAAAAAAACAGCTCTTGTGTTGACGTGTTCACTACGTTTGTCTTCCAAGCTGGGAGATCCGGGTTCAATCCTTCGTCGGACCTCTACTCAAGATCTTAAAATAATTGAGGAGAAAGAGCTAGGTAATTGACCATTTGCGTAATAGACTAACTTTTGAACTAAACAAGTCTAGAAAAAAATTTCATCACAGCTTGAAGGAGCATCACAAAATTAGTAATATTCCAAAGTTTCGTTGCGAAATGTTGTAAAATGCGGATAATATAGCCTTGTGAAATTTGCAATTTTCAGTCATTTTAGATTACAAACGGGAAATTGACAGCCTCAAACCCTTCGAGGCTGTCAATTTCCGGTTTGTAATCTAAAATGACTGAAAATTGCAAATTTCGCAAGGCTATATTTTCCGCATTTTACAACATCTTGTAACGAAACTTTGGAATATTACTAATTTTGTGATGCTCTTTCTAGCTGTAATGAAATTTTTGTTGAGATCAAAATTTAGTCTATTACGCAAATGGTCAATTGAGGAGAAAGAGCTAGGTAGCTCTTTCTTCTTAGTTATTTTAAGACCTTGAGTAGAGGTTGACATTACATTGACATCAGTAAATGGTTAGACTGTCGCGTCTTCTCGGATAAGGACATTAAAATTGTAGGTACCTCGGATCCTCTATCAATTGGGGAACCCGCTGACCAATGAGTGAGAAACTGAATAAACAAAATCAAAGTTAGTCTACTGTACCTTTTCTCAGCTCTGACTTTCGTGCCACATTGTGAACAAGTGTACATATTGTCTCCTTCCAGAGTATCTTTGATCGTCACTTCATTTAGGGATTCCTGACAGCAAAGATAAGTTTAACTCATCTGAACACAAACTTTGAACTCGTTTATTACGTCATAACTAAGCACAGAACATGACGTAATCTTATAAAGCAGTCCAGTACTTACATAGAGATCTTTCATGTCAGCAACTGTACACCTCACAGAGAAGAACTCTTCCTTGGTTTGACTGACATGAGAACAATCCTAACAAACAACGAAATTTGTTTTTTCACTATGTGCGGGACAGGGCAAAGCGGGCATTGCAGGTTTCACACCCTAGAAAGAGGAGGTATACCCCTAGACAAAGGTTAGCATGAAGGAGAGCATAATTAATTTTTGGTTATTTATGGTATTCATTATATAATGGTATGATAAATACGGTATTTATTAGGTAACTTATGCTGCAACCCTCTATGTGATGAACTTAACCCTTCCCTTGGCCACGCCCTTACAGATAGCTTTCTAACATTATCTGGCAATGAGACCAGCTATATTCTTACCAGTGAAACAACGTTGTTGCTGGTCTCTCCACAAAACAAGTCTCTCACCAATTCTCTCTACAAAAATATTGGAAAGTATAAATAAAGAAAGGTCATTTAAGGTCGTAGGGTGTTAGTGCTACGATGAGGGTATCACTTACTGACAGTTCCTGTAATACGCACTTCTTACGTTATAATTTTGCCAAGAGATTTTCTCCAGGTACGTGGGATTCCGCCTGTGACTACATTGGGCCTATACCAGCTGGCCCTTACTGAACCTCCAGAGAGAACAGTTTACAACTGATAGAGCTGTCCAGTTTCATTTAGAGAGCACTACATACCATATCTGGTGACATATCTTCAAGCTTGGTGATGAGATCAGTAAAAAATTCATTCATATCTTTCTGCTCTCCTGTGTTTAATGGTTTCTTATCCATGATGTATGTTTTACAAAATGACCTCGGGTTATACGCTTTCCTTTCACTTTCCTATGAAAAACGTATATTTATATAAACGTATACAAGATACACTTGTCTTACTAGCGTACTTTTAATATAATATACTGTATAAATGAACGGTAGATAGATAGCGTTCACTAAGCATTCTCATGCAGCAGATGTTTGTCAAACTGTAGCTATCAGCGTGAGAAAATAATGTTCACTCTTTTCAATATATGTAGCAGTCTTGATTTGGTGGCAAATTGAGAAAAATAGTTTAATTCTCTTGCTTCTATCGATGTCAACATTTCTGAAATTGACCACCATCTGCTGTCGTGCTTTCGGAAATTCGTCCATTCAATGTCCACTAATACTTCTTTCTTTCTGAAATATTTACCATTAGGAAACAGAACATTTTCTGCATTTCTTTCAAAGACGTATCCAATTTCTTGTTGCCAGTCGGCTGTGGGAGAGAAACAAGAGTTTACATTCATTGGGTTATTCCACATCGTACATTTAAAAATGTTCTCTTTAGAGAAGGGGGTAGTCCTGCTACGACTTCCAACCTGATACCGGGCACCAAATTGACAAAGGGTTCCAAGTTGACAGAGGGTCCCCAACCTGAAAGAATGTCCCACGCCTCAATGTGATAGAAGACTCTAAATCTGGGAAGATGCCAAAAACGAATAATCCAAACATTTTCTCTACCTAAGGTTGACCAAGCTGGTCCAGAAGGATTATGCGTCTATGGTATAAGACGGTTTAATATGCAAAGAATGCTAAAGTGCATACCTGGACTTTCAGAATAGAAGCTCTGGCTTCAGGCATCATATACAACTGCTGCATACACGATGCCATATAACACGTTGCTCCCAAGTTAATCATTCCAGCCAGACCACATGAAGAGCGACAGTTATCATGAGGCCAGTAATGCCAGCCATATGACACGTGATGACCACTCACTGACTCTGGAAATACATGACAACATACGTCAAGACCAATGCACACGATTGCTGTCTAATAATATCAGGGCTCAAAATAACGGGAGATCAAAATCTGTTTTTGACCAGTCATTGATACGCTTCCACTAAAAACCTTCTCACGGATTTCTTAAATAAGTAATCCTCTGCAAATGTAAATTTGAAGTAATGTTTCATATAGGATTTTTTTAGATATTATCATAGCATATTCGTAAACTCAAACCTCTGTAAATATATAGCGATATACAGTAGTTAGTATAATGTTAAGAAGCACTGTAAATTAGAGCTGAAAAGCCTCTCGAGGAGCATCCAATAAATTATGTATGTATGTAACAGTGAAACAAACTATTAGAAACTTGCTTCGATACATCATAGGTTCAATTCAAGACGTCAGCAATCACATTGGAAGGCATGAAAATCTGGCCGCGGTCAAAATGACCAGTGAGGTAAAAAAGTGACCGGTCAAGCGGCATTTTTGGCCGGTCATTGTCCGTTGACCGGCCGTTATTTTGAGCCCTGGATATAACAGGAAGGTCACTGGGTAGAAAATTTATTTGGCTCCAAAATCTGGATAATGGAGGACACGAATGAAATATTTCAATTCGGCATATGATATGAAATTGTTGAAGTCAGTACGATCGATGAAATTACCGAGGCGAGTAAATGCTGGGGAGACGAAATAAGAGTAAATAAATTGTCGAAGTCAGTATGGGTGAAAATTAAAAAATACAAAAAATTCACTTGTTTATATGTATTTCCTTACCGGATGAATGATGTTTGAGAAGTAAATTTTGAAGCTCAGTAAAGTTCTTCTCTGATTCTCGACTTAATTCCAACAACAGATCAAACGCTGCCAGTCGCGAAGACTGAAAGATAAAGTTATACAGCAAGTGAAGAAAACATTAAAGAGTGTCCTGTAAAACAAAACACAATCCAAAGAGTAGCATCTCGAAATTCAAGATAGAAACATGTGCTCTTTTCATAATCGTTTTGTTTTATACTTTTTGAAATTGTCGGCTGGTATTGTTTTTTAAAGTGTACTGTGTGGCGTATTTCAAATGTATTGACACACACATAATGCAAAATGTATTCTTACTTTAGAGCGGCATTTCGGTACAACATGAATATCGCTTGAGTCTTTAGGTAAATCAAACAGACACTGCTGAAACAAATCTTTCATAAACACCTACAAAAGCAAGAAGATGATGGTACATCAAAGTACGTTTATGACTGATAAGAGATTAACAGTAGCTCTACCAGTTTTAAAATGTTCTCCCTGGAGGTCCAGTAAGGATCATCTCTTATTGATCCAATGTTACTACAGAAGGAAACCTAAACTAAACTAACTTTATTTATACTGGATAGTTCTAATGTGTTCTTCTTAGAGGTCCAGTAAGGATCAACTCTTATTGATCCTGCAATGTTACTGCAAGAGGAAACCTAACCACTGTGTCATCAAAATCCCCACACGTCAATTCCCACCCAATAGATGAAATCTTACCAAGCTCTTTTCCGAATAGTTAAAAGATGGATTCTGGCGAACCACAGCAGCACAGAGTTTTAACATTCCACTAAGTGTTTCATCTTCGAACGAATTGCGGCCTTTCTCCAAACTTTCGTGACTGAAGCGAGAAAAAGGAAGTTTAGTACACCTGTTGCATTGTACGTCAGCTTATACGATTACGTATTCGAATACCTGATAATAGATTCAGCCAAATAAGACGCAAGTGAGTCCAAACTTGTCTGCAATACCTACACGAGCACAAAAAAACACCAGATTAACATCAAATGAGTTGGGAAACTGATTTTTTACCAAGGGTCTGGTTGTTCAAAGGTTGATTAGTGCTGACCCTCGGTTAAAATTTAACTTGCTGTTTTAGTTTATGTATTTCTGCACGTCTGTTTATTTCAAAACTTCAGAGAAGAAAACTCCTCCTCATCAAGACAAAATTTCTGAAGAAATATTTCCAAATTTATAAACAAGCTGTTGGGAAATTGAATGATGTTTTTCATGTTACTCTGAGTTTATATCCACACCGAGCAGGCTGAAAAGTTAGCCTGACCAAGGTGGGAATCGAACCCGGTGTGGATATACACTCAGAGTAACATCAAAAACATTATATTCACCTGAGTACATAACATCAAAACAGACAAAAAAAGCTGTTAGGAAGTTTGCTTTGAAGTTTAGGTTAACCTAGGGGTAAGTTAATCGGCTTTTGAACCAGTTCCAGATTTTCACAGACCACATATTGATCGACTATGCTTCGCATGGCTTACTGGCTGCAAATTATTTTTTGCAAATTATTTACAGACTTACTTCTTTTTCCGTTCTTTTGGAAGGTAAAGTGTCCACAAGTCTTAACAACAGAATAAAATATTCACGACAACTCGGGCCAACAGTTCGTGTTCCGGGAATTTTAACACACTTCATTTTTCTTGCAAGAGGCAGAAAATTGAGAAGAGCTTCAAGTAACATGTTCACATTCGAGGCCTCTTTGATCAAACACAAGTTGAAAAGACCTCGGCTTGCCTCGTAGCGTACAGAATGCTAAACAAAATAGAAACAGTTTAATTCACGTATTAAGTACACTGTACATCATGGTGCGTGGAAATGTGATGGCAGTGACGCCGTGGCCGGGGGGGGGGGGCAGCCCCCCCTATTGTTGAGACCTGCATATACGCAGGACCGCCGAGTGCAAAAGTGCTACGAAAGCAATTGTAACGTTCTTGTCCGGAAAATTTTTTTACCAAAAAAGTTGGGACCCACGACGCCCCTATGTGATGGTCACTGATTGGTGGGATGCACATTTGTCCAATGACCGGTCGTTAATGCACAAACAAGGAAACATTATCGCAGAAACCTTGTTCCTTAGCTATGTTTCCCGTAAGCAGGAAATCGTGTTCCCACAAAAATTACATTTGGGAAAGACAATGTGTTAGAATCTGTTAAGGATTATTTTTTAATAATTAGTTTAATAACCCGTATTGCAGTTACAAAACTTAATTACACGGTGAAAAATGACAATATAGAATCACAATTTCTGCAACGATGTTGCCAAACACCTTTGGCAAGCTGGGAAAAACTCGAGGAAAAATCGGAATTTTTAAACGGTTTTCAAAAAGGTTTTCTAATGTGGCCAAGGTTTTATTTTGAGCCTTAGTGTGGTAATGTTCATGCAGTTCATGTCTTCATTTGGAGTACCTGATCAGTACTAATATACAGCAAGAATTCTTCCTGATATTCACAGTTCGTAGTAGAACACTACAACTTCCTCTACTGTGGCTTACCTCTGGCGCCAAGAGAACCAAACGTTGTAACCAAGGTTTAAGTTTTGGATGGTTGACTAAACTGTTAAAAACTGAATTATCTGTGTGAGTCCAAGACACCAAAAACTGCACGGCGTGATAAAGAACTAGATTAAACACGAAAGAAGACTTGTATACCAACTTTATTTGTACTTAATCAGTTGTGGACGATACCAAGGAGTCTCCACACTATGGCTTATTATTTAACAGGTATGGTCATTTATAGGTATTACTGAACTTCAGTAGGAAAACCTGAACAAGCTCTTTGTCTTAAACCTACCTTCAGCCCGGACTGGGTTTGGCTTCACAGGATCCCGATGTGACGTCACTGTTGATTCATACAATGTCGTCATCAGCGCTTCCAAACATTTCTTCTTGTCAATCAATTCAATGGTGTTCTATGAAACAAACATGACAACAATGGCATAAAAATATTGAAAAACTAACTCTATTTATATGACATTGCTTTCCAACCTTTGATAAACAGTCGACTTCGACAACATCATCTTTATCGGTGCTTTTGTTCCTTAACCTGAACTCCTTGTACGCAGTTGACATCCTTGAATGTCCCGGAGATCCAAAAGTGACCACAAACACCTCCTCCTCATCATGCATACCCTCATCTGAGAGCTTGAGTGTGCCAAACTTTTTAACGAGATTCAGTAGCGACGCGAGACATTCTTGATGAGACTGGGTCCAAGAAGGATTATCCTGTGTTAAACCAGAAACGTTTCTCATTTACTGAATTATATATGGGCGGGGGAGGGGGTCACTAAGTAGGACAGTTCAGCATGCAGGAAATGATGGATACTAGGATCCCAGAACATTTTCAGACCTGGCTTAGCTGGCAGAAAATTTTAGGGCATTGCACAATGATAAAAGGCACAGAAAATAATTTATTAAAAAGAAAATTTTGACCCCAAAACTTAGAATCCCAGAAACAAAAATATTGTTTCCTGCAGTGGTTTAGCATACGATGGTCAACTCAGAGACACTTGCACAGAAAGCCACCATACCAGATGATGGTCAACTCAGAGACAGTTTATTAAAAAAAACACCATACCTGCATTAGTAAGCAACCGCTTAGAAAGATATCAAGTAGATGCCCCAACCCCCCGGATTCGACGAACCGTCGACTCCATAGATGAGATCTCTCAACCTCAAGTTCCTGTTTGGTTTTCTTCTGCGGTACGGGGGGTGCTTTCTCCTCAGAATCATCGTCCATGTCCGAAATATCAGAGTCACTACTCAAGTCGCTTTTTTCACTGTCTTTCGTCAGCTCCTCTTCAAACGATCGTTTGGCAATGGAGTGCACGATTTCCAAAGCATACAGCAGTTTGTGTGGACAGGACGGGTCTAACAATAAACGCCAGTTAACTTGCTCAGACTCGGAATCCTAAAAAAATGATTAAATCAAAAGTTGTCGACTCAATGTAATGCGCATCAAGTCACATATAAGTGATTGAAATGTTCCACTTTAAAAACGAGATCACAGTGCATTCTGGGATCGTTTGGAGGGACAAATTACATGGTGACAGGCGTCAAATATGTGAAGAGTAGAAGTATCTACTATCAAAATCAACCGTTCAGACAACCAAAAATTAAATATCTCCTTTTTACATTAAACATTTAATTTAAATGTGTGCTGCCATATTTCTTGTCCCTCCAACATGGGATTTGCGCGACTAGATCCAGGAATTTGGGAAATGGCTAATTGGTTAGCACTATTTTCCATCCAGCAAACTGACCTGACGTCATTTTCGGAAGATGGAAGAGGTGTTAAATGGCTATATAACCAACCCAAACCCTACCCCTACTCTAACCCTTAACCCTAACCGAAACCCCGACTCAAACCCTAACCGAATTAATAAAAAAGTCCAAAAAAAAAAGACTTTAGAAAATTGATAGGGCGGTTTGCTGGATGGAAAATAATGCTAACCTGGCTAATTGTTTTCAAATATTTGTGAAGTTATACAAAGAAATGCATTAATCGCTACCCTATCAAATTATGACATTTACCTCTGAATGTCCGAATGTTTCTAAATTATTTCGAATAGAGAAATTGGTAGGCAAGAACATGAGCAGGTCCCAGACCATGTGTGACAAATGTTGAACCTTGGAAAGCGTCGCGGAGTCGTCGTAGATAACTTGTGGATTTAACGTTGCTTTTTCGTAATGTTCCGTCTTTATTTCTTCCGAGTCTAAAACAAAATGTTCAAATCATTTTCATGGTCACCTGGGTAATGTACAGGTGTTGGATAACATAGAGAGTTTGTATGAGAGTTGAGAAGCGAGAGTTTGCATGAGAGTTGATGAGAGTTGAGATTGAGAAGCGAGAGTTTGCATGAGAGTTGAGAAGCGAGAGTTTGCATGAGAGTTGATGAGAATTGAGAAGCGGGAGTTCTTATAATTGAATAAACCAACAAAATCAACTTATTTTCATACCTAGTTTACTAAACGATTTGAGTTGAACAATCTCCGATGTTTTTCTTTCCTTGCTGATAAAATTTCGTAATAACTGTATAAGATCAAACAACTGGGTGAAGTTCGGTTCTTCTTGCATAATAATGAGTGGTATTGATTCCTGGTTTGGTGTGGGTAGCAACGATGAGCCACAGAGATTGCTATCATTACTACAGTCGCGTCTACCAGCCCCCACGGACACGAAGACCAACTAAAAGAAAGAAGGATGAGATAAAATTGCCCAAACGGCATCGCTTTAATATTCCGTGCGTGAGTTGTTAGTCTGTTAGTTTGTTCGGAATCATAAGCCTTAGTATTTATTCAACAATAGTACGTCTGACAATATCTGAAGATGACTAAGTCACACTACCTGAAGATCTTTAAAACCCACTTCACCAAGAGACTTTTCATCCAGTTCCGGTGTCAACTCATGTCCTTGTGAGATCAGTCGAAAAGGAGGAGTGAGCCCTGAGAACGGCGAGAATGAAGAGCCTGGGGATAAGAACACAGGTGGCCCCATCTTGGCTGCATCTTGATCTTGTTTAATTTGATCATGTTTCTCTTGCAGTTTCTTACACCAACACGTAACTTCTGCACGCAACTCCGCCACGAGGTCTGTGGAGAACATCCTGAACGTGCCCTGTTAAAAAGATAGCGTTTTCTTAAGCCTGGTTTAATTTCTGTGATCATAGTTTAGGAATTTTGCATGCAGGTAAATTCTAAATTTTGAAGGATTTGTAAGAAATGTTTTAGGAAACTGACTCAGTGTAAAATAAACACCGAGTCATTTCCCTCAAACATTTCTTACAAATCCTTCAAAACTTAGAATTTACCTAGGCAAAATTCCTACTGTGATCACAGAAACTTTGATAGTGTACAACAGGTTACGTCTGGTTTTTATTTTGGTTCTCATGCCCGAGTCAAGGTAACCAATGTGAAATAGTCTGTATCTATCTTGTATCTTGTATGCTGTACGTAAATCAGTCTTTACTGACTGTAGAAATATATCGACACTTTATCACATTACATGTGACATAGTCTGGATCTATCTTGTCTTTTGTGTGCTTTATGCAAATCAATATTTACCGATTACAAAAATATATCGACACTTATTACATTGCTCAACTTTACATGGTCGCGACAGCCAGGACCAAATGGAAATTTTTCCTGAGTATTACTAGCATGTCCTAGCAAAGCAAACGACTTAAGCCTGATTCACATATGCCTGCGTTATGCCTGCGCTATCATTGTTTACAGCTGTTGATGCATACATTCTTTTGTGAATTATTTGGTTAAACTGCTAACGACAATAGCCCGCCGACATACCAAGTTTTATCAGAGAGCTAATAAGACCACAACAATAATAATTGTTCACCTTTTCAGTGCGTCCTGCAGGTTGACAAACAACTCGAATGGGATAGATTTTCTCGTTGTTACGAATCTTAAATTGATGAGGATGAATTCCCTGTCCTTCCAATGCGCGAAGTTTTAAGTGATACGCAAACCTAAAGATAACAAATCACAGATATAGTGAATAAGGTACTTTTAATTATTGCATGCATGAGTCTTGAGGAATACAGACCTCTGCTTGAAAAGCTTCAGATGTTCTTTCAACAACGTAAGAGCTCTTTCCATCATTTGCAGACTTACAGCGAGATTCTGAAATAAAACAATTTAGTGAGCAACTGGTTTCAACTTAGTTTAATAAACAAAATAAAAGTCGTTATGAAAAACCATGGTGAATGTGTAACCTCATTGAATGTCGCTGAAGCATTCTTTAGACTGTCCATACATCGTTGAATGAATTCTCTTTCCCTGCGCAAACTTCCTTTCTCATCTAAACACCAAGAACGTTAAATCACGATTGGGCAGACATTGCAGCACATAAACGTTCAAACCTTGTCGTCATGCATCATAAACATAAGAATATCAAAACGTTACGTCCTTTTCCTTATGCTGATGTTGTTGCTTGTGCTTTATCTTCTGTCGTAGTGAAGACACAATGAGAACAACACAAGTATAAGAAACATCAAAGCGTTCATCTTGTTTGTGCTTGTGTTGTAGTGAGGACGATGCTTAAACATGCTTTTCTTGACAAGTATTATTTACATAGACTAACCATGGATATAAAATGAATTCAAGAATGTGATAGCAGCCTGACTAACTTCACCAGACTGCGCAATCAGCGCAATGCTCCATAATTGATCCATGCCAGGTATCTAGGTTGACACAAATAACATTACGACAAGTTATTATACATCATGGCAGTAGTGATGCACTGTCTTTACCTGTAAGACATCGTACGTCACATCACATAAAGCCATGCAGTGGCGTGATTTAGCGCTTGCCTAGGGCAAGTTTAGATAATCACGGCTTCTGTTTGCTTCAAGTGCAGTCAGACATGGTGATATACCATAGATATACTCTTACAAACAAGGTTACAAAAGGTTACAAAAGGATTACAAAAGGATAATCAGCCAGATAACATCGACCATTTCAAAGTTATTTTTCCAGTTCAATTTTATACATATTATACTTAAATTCTGCAACACCTGTAGCAAGTATAGAAAGTCTGTAGCAAGCACATTTTGTTCAAGATACAGTAAGTACATCAGTTGCCTGACAATTTGCTCTGACGACAAATGGAGGAGTTACACCATACATTAGCTACTATAAAGGTACTTTAAGTGCACACACCTTGCTGTCACCACTACGTTCTTCGTTTAGAAAAAGAGAAAACAATTGTTGAAAAAGACTCAGTCCAGTCATTGAAACTGTTTGTGATTTTAATGCAGACATCTAAAGAAAGAAGAGAACAGTCTTGTATTTAGTAACAGAGGGAAATGAGGTATGTCGGGTTGCTAATCATCTTCACTTGCAGCTGGGAGCTCAGAATAGAGACAAGCACAAGATCGACTTCTTGGTTTTTCCTATGATTTTGGCGTAACCTAGCCAGTGTGGCTATGAGAAGCATTCATCCCCTGATAATACTCAAAATGGCGGATGTCCAGGGGGGAATGCCTCTCATAGCGCACTGGCTAGGACTATGGCGTCAGAATTTTCATGACGAATCATGGCGTGGCAGTGGTTACGCTTTTTTGGCTGAGTCGACCTTCTGTGTGTCTTTATTCTGTGGCTTCTGACAATTGCGCCAGGTTGACCAACAAGTACCGTTCCACAACGCTTCTAAAGCCCACCAAAATTTGCAAAACGAAATTTCGTACGTACCTTATTTTTAAAGATGTATTTAAACGTTAACACATCCAATGCATGAAAATCTTTATTTCTCGCTTGGTTTACAAACCAATCCAGAGTATCATCCGAGCATTCGTCATCCTCAACCAAACATGACCAAAGTAAGTCGACTTGATGAGATGTTAACCCTGGAAAATACCGAAGATTACTAAAGACACGAGGCGTTCACAGAGGTCTTCTGCAAATAAATTTTTCACTAATTCCAAAACTTTGCAGAACTGAGTAAAATTGCATGCTGTGAACCAGTGGCACTATTTATGTCATGCACCATTTCGCAAGTAAGCGTGACGTTAAAAACGTCCGACAAATTTCTCCTTCGCTCTCCACTTACTGAATTTCTGCGGTGACAATTCGGTGGAATAAACAGATGTCAAAAACTGTAGTCTCGCTTGAACTTCTTCATAGTGATTGAAAAATGATTCATTCGCTCTGCCCCCGATCTCCCTCTGCTGGCAATATTGCACGAGATTTTCAAAATACAGTTTCATCATGTTGAGTTTTTTATTCGCCCATTCCACCACTTCGTATGTGTTCGCGCCAGTAAATGGTTGAAATGAACAGAAGAGTTTTGGAAGAAGACCAAGGGATAACACCACTGACCTTAACGTGGAAATATACAACATAAATAACTTTACTGCTTAGTTTGAGAAGTTATATCATACTCTCTCCAATAGTCTTGGTTTTTTAACTTTTTTTATCTACGTATTTGTTATTCTATGTTATTCTATTTCATATTTAATTTATATTAGTTTTTAGAATGTAATTTGTGTGACGCCCCTCATGAAAATCATCCATGGGTGATAAGGGAAGCATGGTTAAATAAAGTTTTACTACTACTACTACTACTTGTTTTATAGGCGAGACTTTTTTTATTTATTGGTTTACAGATTTGACTTAAAAAAAACAGGTCCGGTAGGTCGAAAAAAATTTTAAAAAACACACTGAGTATAACCAAATTTAATAATCTCTATTAAATTTCTTAACCTTAACTTCAAAAACGCAAAAAACGTGGCTAATCTCCATATTGATTGTCACAACGATAACATGAGCCAGCGGTACTTATAGTCAAAGTTTACTTGGCCTGTACTTCATGTCAGAACCCCAAATTAACTAAAATTGTAAAATTGTTGACATTTAAATTTTTTTTTCCACTTTCTGAATATTTACGGTCGGTGGATCCGTAAACTAATGAATAAAAAAAGTCTCGCCTTACTATAGCGATTTTATTTCGAAAGCTAGCGTTCGTTTTCGTTTTAATTCAAAATGACTCCTACTCATGCATGTATAATATACATAAAATTTCATAACATATCTCAGAAAAAACGTACTTATGTTGAGCCAAATTATCGAGACATCCTTTGACGAACTGAAAACGAATTTTCTTCTCTCCGACATAGCAAATGAGTTGACAAAGCAGCTTCTCGGCTTCTTGTAGTAACCCGTCTTCAAGTTGACACTAAAATATAAAGTAAACAGGGCTTTACATTACCCTCTTGACACGCTGGTAAACGATAACACCATCATCGCAGACCTAGAGAAAGTGTGTCATCTTCTTCCTAAGGCAAATGTCCCTCAGGATCCCGAGATCACCATTAGGATCCCGAGATCATGCTGACATCACGCTGATTACATCACGCTCAAAAGGAAAATAGTCTGTCGGGTATGACTTGGTCTTAAACCTGTATGTTTTATTCATGCGGGAGCAACCAGTGTCTTAAATAATTCTGATCATTTTTTTGTGTGTGTTGGTGTTGTGTTGAAAGGTCGTAGGTTCAATTCCCACCGTGGCCAGGCATATTTTTCAAGCTTGCCCGGGGGGGAAATATACACTCAGAGTAACATCACAAACATCATAACTCTGATAAAATTAATCCCATGAACAAAACTCACTGCATTTTTATCCTGAACGATATCCCACAATAATGTATTCCCTTCAACGCACACATCTTCTAACCGGAAGTTGACCTTCTTTCTCTCCTCTGTTACGCACGTGACTTCCTCGTGATGTTTATATCCCAGTTCTTCGTCATCGAAATCCTCGAGGACAGCACGATCTGAGCACGTGATCGAGTCATCACTGCTGCTACTCCCTGACACTTCCTTCATAGTCTGGTCTTGGCTGTAAGCGATTGTCGAGCCAGTGTATTCACGCTTCACTGCTTCTGGAATCTCCTCTTGAGAATCACTGAAATGACAAAAGGATCTTCTAAATATGTTGGCATAACAGCTGATTGTCAAATTCAGATATACCGATACTTACGCCTGTATTCTAAAAGCTCACTCAAAGAGTGGAGGTTCAAAATGAGCTTCCCTTGTGTGTCAATGCTGTTTTGGAATAGCTGGAGGGCTAGTGTCGTACCGTACTCAGGGTTTTTTTCAGAATTTTCTCTTGGGTCCGTTTTTGCAGAGAAGATTGAGTTTAGCTGAACAGCTGGGACGGCTGTCTCCCCCCCCCCCCCCCCCCCCCCCCCCCCCCCCCCGCCCACTTCAGTGTAGTTGAGATGCAATGTATTAAAGCAGGGGCACTAAAGGACACTATAAACTGGTTAAAGATTGCGAATGTGTTGTTTTTCGTGTGTTGTGAAATGAATTCCAGCCATATTTCTCTTAATTTTCGGGTTTTCAACTGAAAACTAATTTGCACACGTCATGATTTAACTCAAACAACTTCATTTTATTGCACAGAATCTTTTGATGACAAGATTGAGTTTCAAAACTCAATTCAAGATTGAGTTTTTGGGGCCGTTTTACGGCCCTAAAAAATCCCTGAAAAAAATCCTGCGTACTATGTGACTACTCACCCTCCAGCTATTCAAAAACAGCACTGATACTTAAGGGAAGCTCAGATTGAACCTCCAGCCCAACTTGAACTTCAGATTGAACCAGCCCAGATTGAACCTCCAACCCAAGCTTTTAGAATACAGGCGTTATAGTGGCAAGAAAACTAAACTAGAGGTCCAGTAAGTGTCATCCCTTATTGGTCCAGTGTTACTGCACGAGGGAACTGATACTGGACAGCTCTATCAGTTTCAAACTCTTCTCTTTAGAGACACAGTAAGGGCTGTTCTTCATTGGTCCAGCAGGAGGAGACCGAAGTAACAGAGGGAAGATGAGGTAGAGTCAAACTGGAAGCACTCTTCTCACATGCGACTGAGGCGTAATTAAAATCAGACAACTGCAGGCAACAAAACCCGCTAGCAGAGGTGAAAGCCACCCTAGCCACTGTGTCTCCTAGGACAAGATGTGAACTGGCTCTAAGTACTTTCGTGCAGCTGATGATAGCCAACTGTCAGATTGAGACTCGTATATTTAGTGACCATTCCAAAAATATGGAAAAACGAAAGCAGGAATAGTACAGCTAACAAGTAAAGTGACATACCTTCTCCCTGGCAAGGCTGTATCCAGACTCACATCACTGATTGTACTCGTACTACTTGGACTTCCAATTGAACTGTTGTTTGGTTGAATAAGATTGCTGTGGAGGGAGGCCGCAACTGCAGCAGCTGTATTGGCTAAAAGGAGATAGGGATGATGTCACGTGATAAACCAGTTGGATAGAATTAATCTTTACCTAACTCTTCCCTAAATCCAATCCTTAATCCGATTCCTAATATAAACCCTAATCCAATCTTTATTACAATCCCTAATCATGACTGACGTTACCTAACTACATAGGAATAAAGTTCGAAGTTAATCTGTTGGGCTAATTCCTATTGTGATCAAAATCTTAACCATATTACAGTCTTTAATCGTGAGTCAAATATGATCCATAATCCAATTTCACGTCTAGAAGTGGTGGTTTTGATTAACGGAATCACTGTCTGTTTTGCCAAAAAGTGATGAAATTACCATTTTATTAACAGTGAGACAGGAGATACGATTAAAGGCAGTGTCTGTTTAAGGGAGGTATCCAGTAATAAGGATACGTCTCTTAAGATATACAATACGTACCCCCAACAACAGCGGTGGATGAAGCAGGACTATTCCGTCTGGCAATGACGCCTTGTGAGTGTTGATGATGATGATGTGATGATAAAGCATTGTTCCAAACAATCCTGATCAATACTAGTGCCAGGTACAACGTCTGCTTGTTGTGAGACGCCACGGGTAAACTAGACACCAGGCCCAGCAGATATTGTATCAACTCGGTATCTAGATGTTTTGCTAACGTCGTGAGAAGGTCGTGGACGTAACGACTTGCATGCTTAAGCTACAATGGAATCAAAACTTCATTCAGTTGGATACGAGAGATTTTCACTTCCACAACCATTAACCAATCAGATGCATCAAATCCGTATGTGAGACGTCGTGAAAGTCAAATCTGAACTTTTCTAATAAGTGCTGTAGTGTATTGCATGAATATCCGAAATCTAGTAGGAAAGACGGGAGGCAGGACATCTTTCTTCAGAAGGGAGACATCTTTTTTTCTTGTATGCTGGATTTACCCAGGAAGGGTGCCCGGGCGCTCTGGGACACCTTACAACGAAAAATGAACGCCCGAACGTCCGGAAGGAAAGGGAAATTATTCTGAACTATTTTCCTAAAAATCTCGAATGAGTACTATGTAGATGCTGACATGAAGGACTGTAAAATTTGATACTGTATACGAGACCCAAAATTCAAAGATTTTCCAGAGGTACATGAACCCGGTTTTCACTCGTTTCCAACCACCAAACTGACATTACGTCATTTGATCAATTTTTAAAGTTGATTCTTTTTGGATTCATTTTATTATTTTGGTTAGGGTTAGAGTTAAGGCTGGGGGTTAGAGTAGGGGTAGGGTTTGGGTTAGTTACAAAGTCATTTAACACCTCTTCCATCTTCCGAAATTGACGTCACGTCAATTTGGTGGACGGAAACAAGTGCTGACCCACGAACCTCGGCACAGGTATGTCGTCGCCGAAATTGGACGCCCTCTTTCAGAAACCTGGCTAAAAGCTTGCTTGTATGGGGTTTGTACTAACCTGTGCTGCTGCCCATATGCATTGAAGATGCTGGTTCGTTATTTTTGCTTCTTGTGCAAGAAAGTTCAAAATCACTTGAGACTGTTTCAACAGCTACAATGAGAAATACGAAAGTGATAGCAACGGATATTTTTATTTTATGATGAATATTAAAAGTTTATTTACCTCGACGTGTAGGTTTGGACCAAACAAATGATCCACGATGTTTATTTCAACCAGCCAGGAGGCCAACTTACCACACAATCTATATAATAATAATTATTATATTTATCCAGGATACCCACATCACATTGCATCAAAAATACAATAATTTACAATATTGTCAATATTTAAACCGTATAAAAATATACAAATATGTACATGCACGATACAATACAATAATGATAAAAACGAACAATTATAATTCATTAAAAAACTCATTAATAATTCAGGAGCAAAACACAAAGAAAAATCATAAGCGTGTCGTGGTTTTATATGTGATAAAAAATCATGTTAATTTACATAAACTTTAGCTTTGATTTTCTCGGTTTAGACAAAGTTTATTTTAAAAATTACTTCGCCAATGAACTCGTATAAGATGAGTCGTTTTTTAAGCTATTTAAAGCACTTGTAGTCGTGTTTTATCACATATAAAACACTCCGCTACGCGTCGTGTTTTATATGTGATAAAACACTCCTACGCGTGCTTTAAATAGTACTTAAAATACTCATTAAAAATGCATAAACCTTGTGGCAAATCATATCACCTATAATATGTCACGTGGAGTGACTTTATATCTGATAAAACACATGTGGCATTATATAATTGTTCATCCTAATTAGTATTCTTATATAAATAATACTGAGATGGCATCTTTTGTAGCCGTATTTTAAGCTTATTCAAAACACTCGTTGTTGTCGTGTTTTATCTGATAAAACACTCCTACTCGTGCTTAAACACTCCTACTTAAATAGTACTTAAAGTATTAATTTAGTCAGTAAGTGTGAAACATAATAATCAGATGATGAAAATTTCAAATGTAGGGGGAAAGGCTAGTAGGGCATTCTTATCATACGGTCTCAGAAGTAAACATGAAAAAATATTAAAAACACTTCGAGGTTTTGAGCAAAGCGGCCCCTTCATCTGAAGGTTAGCAGTGGCTAAAATGTGGCTGATTTCAATCTTTTTCAGGGATGGATTTACTTGGGGGGGGGGTGCGCACTAACCCGCGGCGCATATGACCGACGCAACTCGGCACCAGAGCTGGCAGAGCACCCCCCCCCCCCCCCCCCCCCAACTAGATCATGCCGGATCCATCCCTGATCTTTTACAGGTAGTTCAAACACCAAACATGGCGACTAGAGAGATGAAATCTATATAGTCGCCGTGTTTGAGAGAAATATGGCATCAGTTGATCTTTTATCCTCACTTACTCATCAACATCCACAGAAACTTGAGTATCATTGTGAAAGATTTCGAAGAACGCATGAACTTGATTCTAAAATAGCAAATTTAAACATAATATAATCGAACCCTCGGGGATTTCTCAAGTGACCGCTAAATACAGGTTGACCGCTTAATACAGGTTGACAGCTTAATACAGGTCTTGTAGAAAATCACCACAGGCTTAAATTGCTTGAATGATACGTCCACACAAACTGAATATACTCTTTGACACTTTCAGTGATTACGGAAGTTCGAGTAATGAGATAAACAAAACTTAAAGACTTTGACATGTTGTCGAATAAAGATTTAATTATATATTGTATTATGTTTAATAAAAAGTAATAAATAATAAATGTAATAATAATAATGTTGCAGTAATAAATTTACGTGGTGTTTCCACAAACAAGAACAATTATATTTTATCGCCATGCAAACATTCAAAGAACTTATGTATTACGTTTGCTGTAGTTACTTTGCACTGACCGTTTAATAGAGTTTCAAAACAATGAAAAATTAAGTTTGGGACCGTGGAAAAAGTGATCGCGTCCGTTTAATAGAGGTGACCGTTCAATATCGCCCCTACCGTTATTTGATTCAGTCCAGTCAGTCTCACTGTCAATGTCGATGACGTAAAATACCGGAACGCTAAATCCATACTGTCTCTGCAATTAATAAAGTCCAATAATTAATAATGTTGCAATTAACAAACTTCAATATTATGTATAAATGCGCCTGTATCCCAGGGTACCCAATAGAGTCATAATGACATATAGACAATTTATTGCTCCATAATAATCACACAATTACATTTTTTTGTTTTACATTATTCCTTTTTTATCTATTAATGTTACTTATATATTTAAATAAAGGAGCTGACACCCCAAAATAACCAAAAGCCTAAAAGATGGGAGGGGGGAGTGAATAGACTGAGCTGACACCCGGAAATTTTCGCCGTCTACAGCGTAGACAACCGCCGGTTGTTTCTCGAAATTACAACCCAAAATATTTCCTCGTTACTCTAGAAATGTCAAGGCCAAGGTTTCTTGCTTTTAGACGATACTCTTCGTGAAATATTTGGATAATATGAAAAAATCTCCTAATGCCAGTTTAGAATGTTTGAATTTCAAAATCTTCACGGGGAGACGCCCATTGACCCGACCCCCATTCCCATGGCGAGTGTCTTTATTCTAGTGGGAACCATGGTATCCTTCAGAACTGTACCTGTCAAATATCAAGCTGTATTGTGGAGGACTCTTGACTGTCGTCCACATTGTGTCCGCCATTAACCTTCTGTCTGACAACCTCAGTTCTTTATCCGTGAGTTTACAAAGATATCTGAAAATATCCAAAAATTCATACTGTTAGATTGTCTCTAAAAACATGAGATCTTTCCTATTTGATAGGTCTCACCTTATTACTGATCCTCTTAGAGGCATAATATTCTGTACAATCGCTTTCACATGGAACCACACGCGTAACTGAAACAGGAAAATTCTAATGTAAACAAATTTGGAAAATTGGAGATCATCGTTGCATTTCATTCGCGAATCAGGTGGTGGCCTGCATGCAAAATATCAAGATAACATTCATGCTGTACACGTCAGGGCGTGCGCACCCCTCCTAGTCTTGGCAAGGGGGGTGCCAGTTTCATTATCAAGTCCATTTTCAAGCCCATATCTTGACACCATTACCAGAATAATGTCCCTGAACTCTGGCAGGGATAATGTTTCACCTGTTCTTCAGAACACTGCTGCACGTAGCTCCAAGTAATTATGGACTTGGGTCACACCCCGAACCATGACCCTGGGTCGATAAGCATCCCCTCC